TATATCCAGCTTACTATCCCTTGTTTACCCTAGATCCAAGGATATATTCCCTTTTTATAGCATATCATAAGGTTAAAAATGATAAACTGCATCTTTTGTAAAACCTTCAAGGATAAAGAAGGAACCATTTTTCCCTCTAGAGTAATATAAGAGAAAAGGTAGGCAGGCAATACAATGAAAAGTAGATACAACTCCAGGGCCAAACTCTACTGAAAGGTTTCATTTGAGTGTTCCAGGGCATCAGTCTTGAGTCCAGATTAGCTCTTCTATCTACTGAGTGAACATTAATAAAAGCTAAACTTTCTCATCAACAATAGGACCTGAAATACGTATGCAAAAAAGCAGCAGCCTCTTCCCAAACAACTGGGGCCAATGCAAGGAAGCTTCAGGTCAAAAGTGGAGGTGTCGCCTGACGTAGACACTTTCCTGGGAAATTGGTGCTTTTCTCTGGGTAATAGAACAGCTGTCTCCTGCCAGTAGTATATCTTACATGGCATATTATATCCTAACAACTCTGTGAGGCAAGCAGGCAGCAGGCAGAGTCCCATGAAGCAATGTGTTAAGTCCATTGAAACTGACAGAAGAGACAGTCTTGAATCCACTCTAAGTTATTAGCCAGAGTAAGCATACATATTTTTGCTTCTATGTATTTGAGACAAGGTACAGGAGTCCCCAGATATCCTTTGTTTTATTAAAAAGATAAGAACTCAAAGTCGAAATTCTCCTGATTTGGAACTCATTAAACACATTCTCTAGTGTTTCGATGATAAAGAAAAATATTAATGTAAAATTAGAACAGCTACTATAATGATTGATCCCTGAATAAGTATATGACCTAACACCCTAAGTTTGTTTCTCGGTCACATCACCGCTATTTCAGTCAGTATTTGGCACTTCCTTCACAGTGTGACCCAACTATCTTCCCATAGGACTCAACACATAGAAGGGAATGAGATGGGAAAACAGAGGGGAAGGAGGACCAAGACTGGAGCTAGTATGGTCCTTCTTGTCACATCATTTGGACACACTAGGCACAGGAATGCTAGCAAAGTTGTCTGGATTTCAACCCAGGAAAAAGAAGAGTTTGTTTTCTGAATGGTCAGCTACTAACACAAGTGTCTGGGGTGATTTTTAGAATAGAAAGACTTTTTAAATTATACTTATTTCCTTTTACACTCTACACACAGAGTTCATTTCTTTTTCTTTCTAGTTAAACCTGAGGTTCCCTTTGACCTAAAAGTTGTTTATCGTGAAGAAGCAAATGACTTTCTGGTGACATTTAATACAACACACATGCAAAAAATGTATGTAAAACAGTTAATGCATGAAATGGCCTACCGCCTGGAAAAAGATGAAAACAAATGGATGGTAATGTAAATTAGTCATGTTCATAAGAAAAACATTATAATGTTTGTTCTGAGAGCTTATCTTCTACTCAAAAAGGCTCCCAATATCCTACCCACTTCTGACCCGAAAACAGCTACCTTCTTCCATTGATCATCTGAAAATTGTACCAGTGGAAAAGAAACATTATTAGAGGAAAGAAGGATGATGAATAAACGGTTCTAAAGCAATCAGCTTATTGCTCATAAAAAATAATGTCTAGCCTTTACAGTAGGCTTATTTGGGGTTTTTGTTTTTATTTTTATTTTAAGTGTATGAATGTGTTGCCTGTATGTATGTAAGTGCTCCTATGTTGTGCAACACCTGCAGAGATCAGAAGAGGGTGTTAGATTCTCTGGGAGTGGAGTTATGGACAGTTATTAGTCACGATGTGGGTGCTGGTAATCAAACCTGGGTCCTCTGGGAAAACAGCAAGTGTTTTTAACTGCTGAGCCATCCCTCCAGTTCTGTAAGCTTATTTGTGTCAACACACAAAATCAATTGTAAATCAAATTTAAAAGTAGCATTAGATTACCACATATACTGCTGATAAGTGGTATATCTAGATAAAAAATTATTTTATTTTTGATACAGGGTCTTCTGTAGCAAAGCTGGCCTGAAACTTGCTATAGAGATCCACCTGCCTCTGCCTCCTGAGTTCTGGGACTAAAGGTATCCTCTACCACACCTGGCTTGGATAAAAATTATAATAAATCATTAAGATAGAGACAAATATTATAACAAAAATGAGAAGAAAACAGAAAAGTTTCATAAATAAGAAATATGTGTGTTTAGTTAACATAGTCAAACATTTATCATAACTTTTTCCTCTAGAGTTGATATAATATTTTCCTTTTTTTCTTATCATAAATTACTTTTTCCTCTAGATTTGATATAATATTTTCCTTTTTTTTCTTCAAAATAATACAGTGTGAAAGAAACTACTGTCTCTGTATTACTATGCATAATGTCTGGTAGGAAATTGTTATTGTTCACTAATATACACTTTGTTTCCTCTTCATGCATGAGAGAGGCAAGAAACAAAGATGATATTAGAATGGGAGAGAAGGGTTGGAACCCAGGAGTGATTTAGATCCCCCGAGGTGGGAGAGGATGATTCATCCGAATAAAAGCCCACCTGTCACTATTCTCTTTGACCTCTCATGGTCTCACTTCTGACTCTGCTTCTAATTCTGCTGCTGACCCATTATATACTTAAGCTTTTTATTCTAAGAAATATAAAAGAACTTCAAGAGAGAGCCTATAAGACTGAGTTTAATCTTAAAGTGAATGGAGAGATCTAGGCAATACTTCTTTTTTATCCTAATAATGTAATGTAATTTTTACTCTAGAATGTAAATTTATTCAACACAAGAGTGACACTCCCACAGAGAAAGTTACAACCTGATTCAATGTATGAGATTAAAGTCCGATCCATCCCACAAAACAAATATTTTGAAGGCTTCTGGAGTGAGTGGAGCCCAAGTTCTTACTTTAGAACTCCAGAGACCAAGAGTCCAGGTAAGTAGCATCTGTAGAATCCCTGTCCCTCTACAGGACTTCATGCACTGAAGTGTCTGAGAGAGAAGGAGAGAGATTGGTGTAAATAATCTACAAGTTGGGACACCTTGGGCACTCTTCCATTTTATTTAGAGAAGGGCCTGCCTGTCACTTTTGCCCCATCTTAAAGAATAAGAGCAGTGGTGGCCACATCTGTGGTACCCGATAACTGGTACAGACTGTCATGATGCCACTGTCACAGTTACTCCCAGGCCTACTAATGAACTGTTCAAAACCTCTGCCAACTATCAACTTATTCAAGGATCCAATGACTGATCTCTCTGTGACCTCTCTAGGTAAGAGCTTTATTGATTATGAGTGAATGGGCCAGTATAGATGCTTCCTCCCCCAGAATGATAATGATGCTATGGGGCCTGGGAAGTACCAACGGCCAGAAGTGTCAGAGAAGATGTCTCAGGAAGGTGCCCAAAGCACCTCACATAGAATTTCCCCTTGAAGGAGATGTGAGTTATGCCACTATGTCAGCTTCCCTGTCATGTTGGAACTCACAGCAAGGGCCAATGTTTATTTCTTCAATTCCTATTGGAGACCTTCTTGGCATTGTCAGTTGGACAAGAGGTTGTAGACCGTCATGATAGATCGTTTTTATATTTCAAGTGGCTGATGCTCTTTTCCTGATAACCCAAGTCAGTGCCACTCTTCCTTTACCATGGAGCTAATTTCAAGAAATAGTAAATTAAGCTATGTTATTAAGTAAACTCAAACTACCCTAAATATCTACCACACCCACTTCCTGCTTACTGAATCCTAATCAGGATCTCCTTTTATTCCAGGAGGATGGCATCCTGTTCTGTCAACAATCAGCATTTCAAGTTTTTTCTCTGTGGTGCTGTTGGTCATTTTAGCCTGTGCATTGTGGAAAAAAAGGTGACTTTCTTTAAGTAATAAAGAGGATGGTTGTGTGTGTCCCCACAGAGATAGAGTGGACGCCACTCAGTGATCTTCTAGAAAACGTCAAAGGAAGAATGGACATTTCAGGAATGACAGTGACCAGCGCATCCCTCCCATTGTCAGCCCCAGCAGGTTTCCACTTGATTTAAGAAGAGGCAAAAATATGTAAACTAGACATAAGGCAAATTGTATCCCCCAAATAAGAACTATGTGTATGTCATATGTACATCTGTACATATGTTCATATGTGGACACATGTACATGTGTGCAAGAGTATGAGGTTGCAAATGTTCAACATTGGTTATCTTCCTTAATCACTTTCCACCTTAATTTTTTGTGATAGCATCTCTCATTGAAACTGGAACTCACTGATTCAGTTAGATTGGCCAGCAAACTCAGGGGATCTGTTTCCATTCCCCAGCCTCCCTGGAGGTGCAAGGAACTGAACTCAGAACCTTATGCTAGTATAGAAAACAGCTTACTTACTAAGGAATCTCCCAAGGCCCTCATCCCGAAAGCAAGAGGGTTTTTGGGTTTGTTTGTTTGTTTGTTTGTTTGTTTGTTTGTTTTTGAGACAGGGCCTCTATGTAACCCCAACTTGCCTGAACTCACCATATAGACAAGACTGGCCTCATTCTCACATAGATCTACATGTCTCTGCCTCCTGAATGCTGAGATTAAAAGCATGTACTACCATGCCTGACTAATTAAGAATTCTTTAAGCAGTGTTTGCCAGATATTTCTTCCAAAGCCTCCTGAAGAACATAGAAGTGATTCCCCATGTCAGCATGGAGTGTTTTGATCTCACGACTTTCTGCACACAAGTTCACGAGACTTTTGTATTCCTTCTGTGGTAGTCATGTACCATTAGGTTGCCCCATGTTCGAGAAAGATGCCCACACCATAAGGCCATGTATCCGCAGGATAACAAGTACTCTAATTTGAAAAGTACTGCCATAAAACAGTTTCCTTGAATAACTTAGAACATATTCCCCTATTCTAACAGAATTAGAGCCAAACAATTCCAGTAAGAGATTGAAGAGATGGCTGCATTGGGCGTAAATGACAAGGTCACAGTTTAGTTCCACTGCAACGCCAAAGATCCCTCACTGTAAACCTCATTGCTTCCTCTATGGCACTTGCTACATCATTGCAGTGCCTTGTGGAACAAAGTAGATCAATAGCAGTGAGCTCTGTTCTAACTCTTCTGTAGATTAATTGTTCACTGTTGTCCAGAGAAAACAACATTTGTCTGCAGCTGCTACCTAGTTGCGGAAGAGCCAATACCAGACAACTGTTCTTGTGATTCCTCTCAAATTAGTGGAAAGACTTATTAGAGGTGCCTGCTCCTCTGCCTTTTGTTTCATCTATGAATGTCCTCTGATTTTAGAATTAAACCTATTGTATGGCCCAGTCTCCCTGATCATAAGAAAACTCTGGAACAACTGTGTAAGAAACCTAAAAAGGTAAGTGCTCATGGTAGTTAGAGAATCACATTACTGATGACATCCCAGTAGCTAAGAATGATGTGCAGCTGAACCTCAAGTCTTTGTCTCATGCATCCCATGACTGAGGTTCCTTGTAAGATATCAGGGAACAAATATGAGACACTCACAGGTGGGGAGCACAGTCAATGTTCCCATCAAACCTGGATTATCATTACTCCTTCCAGAAGCAAAGTCCACTGGACACGAAGCAGGCAGTTTTCTAGGGTTCTGGAATAAACCTTTGCCAGGAGATTCTTTAGGTTTTATTTTTGTTTGTTTTGTTTTGTTTGTTTGTTTCCAGAACTGAATTTTTGGTGGCATTTCTCTCCAGTGCTGTCTCAACACCTCTCTCTTTCTGTGCAGAATTTGAATGTGAGTTTCAATCCTGAAAGTTTCCTGGACTGCCAGATTCATGAAGTGAATGACGTTCAAGCTAGAGATGAAGCGGAAAGCTTTCTGCAAAATGCTCTCCCTCCACAACCTTGGGATTCGGAGAAACAGGATCATGAAGCAGCTGAACACAGCCGAAACTTGCCACCTGAGATGTCAGTCAGCATACCCGAAACTTTCAGAGCAGAGTCACCCCTAAGATGCCTGACTAGAAATCTGAGTGCATGTGATACTCCTGTGTGCCCTTCTTCTAGGTCCCCACACTGCAGAGATGATGGCAGAAATGGACCTCACATGTGCCCAGGCTTGCTACTGAGCCCTGGAATTGTAAACAGCACCTTGCCACCACCATTTCCTCGCCAATCTGGGATCCTGACACCAGTTGCTCAGAGACAGCCCATTCTCTCATCCTCAGCATCAAATCAAGAAGAAGCATATGTCACCATGTCCAGCTTTTACCAAAATCAATGAACTGTGAGAAACCCAAGACCCCTCCCTTTACAACCACTATGATAACTGGGAATGGATTTACTAGTGCCTATGCCCCCTCATGGCTCCCAGAAGATAAAATCAATGCAGCCTTGCTACATGGGCTTCAGGATTCAGAGTTTTTCTCTCTTAGCCAATAGCATTCATATAAGACAGGAAGACTTTGATTCTACCATGTTGATTTCATCATAATATTTCAGTTGACACAATTAAAATATATTTAAAAATCAAGGCATAATAAAATAAAGAATAAAAGGAAGGATAGAAGGATGTGTGAGTGCAAGAAGGGAAGAAAGAAGAAAATAATGGCAATGCCAGTGACTACTGTTAGGACTTACTGTATATCTAGTGCTGTGCTAAGTGCTCTACATACACTGTGTTAAATGATCTATACATTTGGTCTCACTTCTTCTTCACAATAATAATTGGAGGTGGGTACAATTATAACTGTTATTCACTTTGTCATAGTTGATGATGTGGAGCATATAGAGTTCATGTAACTTGTTCAAGCTGACCTCAGTGACAGGTAGAGCATTATTCCAACTCCAGCCTCCCCATACCATAGGCCTTTCCTTTATTAAGGAATAGCCAACTCTTGGGTGCCAAACTTCACTAATAAGTAAGTAACTGTATGGTTATTACTTGAACTGGGCCACTTTTGAAGGTGAAAGGGGAAGTTATGAATAATTACTCCATATTAATAAGCATAATTTTGAGCTGTCTCAGACAAAAATGGATCACCTTAATTAAAGTCAGGAAGAGAGTAGGAGGCAAAATGAACTCGTGGATTTATAATACTATAAACACATGTCAAAGGAAGTAGAACAAAGAAAGAAAATAACTTCCAGGGCCATTTGAACATTTTTTCTGAAAACAAACTCAGGAAGCAATAAATTAGATTCCAAAAATTTCCACAGTCACTTGTCAAGACCACAATTCTCTTACTGCTAACACCTATCTGCCTCTATTCTGATAATAGAAAGGCAAATTGTAACTCTACAACATTGTGACATTTAACCAATGGTCAGGAGAATGACCCCTTCTATATGTGTAGACACCATTACAAATTGCCCCAAGGTTTACAGCCTTCTATGTTTCCATGAACTTCAGTGAATAGGGGCTATGAACACCACAGAATGTCCCAGCAGAGGCTATGCTCATGAAGACACAAAGAGGATAGGTAAGTCACTTAAATTCACTGGTTAAGTCAGGATTGCAAGCCAGATTTCCATATCCCTTATGTATATAGATTATCTCCTGAATGAAACAGAAAATATTGTAGGTTACCATTGAATTCTTTAGCTCTAAAATCCTGTTTCAATGATGTGTGACATCTGTTATTTGAATTTAGTGTATCTGTTTATTGAAGACATGTATTATGTCTGTATTATATTCATATAATCAAAGCTGCTACTAATGCTTGATTTTATACTCAGAGACAACACATAACATAAGATTACTAATTGATTCTACCCAATGCTGTATTGTATTTCATAAAGAAAGAAAAACTTGTCAGAGACATTTGTACAGCAGAGATGTCCATTGCTAGTTCTAAGTAACATGAAATAAAAATGAGAAATAGGCAACTAATTTAATCAGACAATTATGCCTGGGTTCAGGGAAGCTTCAGTCATTCAATTTATTGTCTATAAAGCTTTGTCTCTCTCATCAATGAGGCTTCCATAGGAATTTGTCCCCCCAAATCCAAGAACGGGCTATTTCAGATGTGCATACTTGTATTTTCTTGGAGCTGAGGTTTGGAACTATCCAAGAGAATGGTAAGAATATGTAATAAAGCACCTGAAAACGACATCACTCAGATGATAATCTTATTAAATCAGTGGTATTTCTTCAATGTTCTTTCAAATATCTATCATCCACTACAGTGAAGATCTCTGATTTGACTGTATTTTTTGTATGCATTACCAATATTTTATGGAGCTGCTGGATATAAAAATGTATGGTGTCTGTTACCATTTCACATTTAATTAAATCCTAAGGAACTTTTTATGGCTCTATTATCTTCTGTCACAACCACAGATAAAGGATGCCTAGAGTTTACCATAGTTCTCTCTAGCTACTGAAAACATTCTTAGGCCATTTGCTGTCGTTTAATGGACTAGAGCACCTAGAAAAAAAATTCAGTTAATTAATTAATAAGAAATGAATCTACTCTGCATTACTTTTACACTGTGCCAGCTATTGGAATTAGAGAGATGGAACAGAAGATAAACAATATGTATGTTAAAATGTTACACTACTGCTTTATAGCAAAATAACTGTCAAGTTACTCAGCTTTTATGAAAACAAATGAATTTTAAGTAGAAAGGGAATTTACTAATGACTATGAGATGGCTTACAGAACATCTGGGAGTGAGAAATCAACAGTCTTGGAGGTCATGTATCTCTGCCACTGGCAATGCTAGAAGTTGAAAATAATCACCTTCACTGGAGTCACTGCCCTGACAAGTCATAGCAGTGACTTCCAGAAACTTCACATCACGGATTGATGGAGTAAGACAGAACTGGAGCCTGTGGTTGATGGGAGCAAACCTTGCCAGGTGCTGGTCCATAGCAATGGGTAACCAAAGAACAGAAAAACTAGCATTTGAATCTATGTTAAGAAGCAGGTGTCATTCCAAAATAGGGGAATTTCCCAATTTACGATGGAGATTCTGCTGCTGGGTGAGATAAAACAGACATAAAACCAGAAAAAGGATGCGTTAGGAAAGAATAGACGAGGGAAAACGTGAAGGGGGTCACAATTGATATAGTGGTGCAGGAAGCTGGGGGCCAGATATCAGAGCCTGGAGAGCAGGCAAGGCTTTCCTTGGCATAGGAATCAGCATAGTCAAAGCCACAGAGCTGTGAGAAAAAGATATAGAAGAAGATAAAAGTGCAGCAGTTGTTTACTCTTGGTTCTCTCAGGTGGGAACACGTATGCATTCCCTTAGCTCTCTCAGGAATGTATTCTCTTGGCTATCTTGGGTAGGAACAGGAATGTATTTGTAGTTACTGTAGAAAGTCAGATAAATTGCACTTTCATAAATACAACGTTCATTTTGAATGTTTAATTTAAATGTATCTGTCTAGTCACCACTCATTTGTCATATCTTAGTCCATTTAGGCTGATATACAAAACACTATGGCCTGGGTAACTAAAACAACAGAAATTCATTTCTTACAGTTTTAGAATCTGTGAAGTCCAAGATCAGGGGGTCAACATGGTAAGGTTTTGATGAAGGCTATCAGTCAGATAAGAGACTGCAGAATTCTTGCTGTGTCCTTAAATGGTGGAAGGATGCTAAAATTCTCTTGAACCTCTTTTGTAAGACCCTACCTTATTTTTTATAATTTACTTAATAACCACATAATTAGTAGAAGCATTTCATTTCAACAGCATTAACATAGTCAATAACAGTTTCCAGAGCAAAGGTGCATCTCTTTCAAAATTGGCTATAAATTTTTAGGTTCACAGGGTTGAATTAATAGTTGTATATTATTGTACTCAGTATAAACCCTATAAGACATAAAATTGAATGAAGTTTTAGCCTTTTAAAAAATTTCCATTTCTTTTTAATTCCAGTACCCTAGAAATTAAAATTTCAAAATTGTGAGGAAACAAACATTCAGATTGTCATGTTACGAGGCCAAGACCTTCCGAGTGTGGCAACCCTTCCCCCAAATTTCTCAGTATGATTCAAATGTGCAACCAGGCTTGGAACCACTTTTGTAAAAGCTTGGAATTTCCTTCACTTTGAGTGTATGCTTAAAATTTTAGCATCAGCCATCAAGTTTATGATGGTGCCTTCTATACATTTGCTTCAACTGGGTTTGGAAAATGAAAACACAGAATATACAGACTACAACTTGCCAATTAACTGAATAGTAACACTTCACAAGCGCCAGCATTTTCACTTACTAACAAAAACTGGCTATTGTCTAAGTAGTGACTCTCTTGCTTGGCTGATGTAAACTATTTTCCAATTCTTCAAATATTACCAAGCTCCAAAGCACAAGGAACTTATTCATTTCTCTGTCAAAAACAATTCTTTGGGGTTTTGTGTGGCCACTTCTTTATTTTCTAGGTTCGATCTCCTATGTAATCTCCTCACAGAACAGGCCATCATCTCAAAAATCATGACTCTGCCATGTCTTTATGTCCTCTCAAGATACTAAGTACTTTATTTATTTCATCAATTACTGTCAACTCTCTTCCATTCTAAAATTCAGGCGCCAGGCAGCTTCTACCATCTATTGTATTCTTGGGCATTTAATAAAGGCTAGTACATGAAAGTAAAAAGAACTTCTCTGATGAGAGGATTTTGACACAAAGATCTATTTTATCATGGCCTTGGCCTCATCTAGCACCTGTTTGTAGCACCCCTAAATGGATAGAAAGGTTCCCCCTGCTTTAGCCTGAGTCTGAGACCCAACACAACCACCAGAGAGATCATTCTAACATGAACATCCAATCAAGTGACTCTCTAGGTAAAATCTTTCAATGGCTCCCAGCATAGCATAAAAGACTTGGTGACTTAGCATATTCCTTCCTATAGCTACTGTCACAAATTACCAAATAGTGCCTTAAAACAAATTTATGTATTTTTCAAAGACTCTGATGTCCAAAACAAGTCCTATATGGTTAAAATCAAGGTGCTAGCAGCTCTGTGCTGTTCTGGTAGCACTAGAGAATTCGTTATTTGGTTTTCTTATTGCTCAACGCTATCTGTACGCCCTAGATCATTTCTCCAGCATGGAAGTGGATCATTGCAGCCTCTGTTCCATTCATCACAGCGTCTTCTTCTACTGTCACCCTCTTTCCTTCCTTTTAGAAGAACTGATGTGATTTTACAGGACTCACTCTGGCAAGGACAATATCCCCATTTCAATAATCTTATTATTATCACATCTACAGAGCCCATTTGACCGTATGAATATGTTGCTGGAATTAGCAAAGAGGCATTTTAGGAGGCTGTTGTCCAGTGTACCTTATCTAGCTCCTGTCTATCTGTATTTCCCCTAGTCTTTCTTAGTCACTGACTGTTCCACTTACCATCTCCACTGCTGATCTAATTCATGTTCCCCTCAGATACCACCTTTTGTGGAAGGGCATGTTCTTATAGATCAGGAATTGGCTTATCTGTGCACTCTATGTTTATTCCTGTTGCTACCATACTGAGTTGTAATTACTTTATCATCTGATTCCTCTATGGACTTGAATTATTACAGAACTGAGGACTACAATTACTGTGGTTTGTATCTCTTGCTTATCACTATATGAAGGAAAGAATGAATAAACACATTAGCACATAGCGTTGCATTAATCAGCTTTATTCTTCATTACCATTTAAGTCAGGATAAAACCGAGTTAAGCTGTTTACACAGAGGAGGCACCACATCCCTGAGAAGTGGCACATCTGGACAGCCACGTGCAAGGAGTCGGTTGTCTTCCCCATCCACATTTCCCTCCCCAGCTGTACTTTTAACCACCATGACCACAAAAGTGGGGAAATGATATAGAGGGGAGGGGAAGAATTTCCAAGTTTCATTTCTCTGATGACTATCTACATTTAATTTTGTTCATTGGTGTATTTAGTTCATTAAACACATTATAATTGATCTTAACTTCTAAGTTTTGATGGCTTGTTCATTTGTGTGGACATTTGTATGTAGCTTGAAATAACAGCTGTTCAGACATGGAAAGTGTTACACAACACTGACAAAAACAATATGTGAAGCAAACAATGGGAAAATCCTCTGAGGTTTAAAAATAGTCTAAATGTCCAACTCTGTGGAAATACTTGAGTTAATTGAGAACACACCTCAACTGTTCTCTCTACTCTGTGTGAAGGTTTCTCATCTAGGAGGGAAGTAAAGTTTGTGGGAATGAAAATAACTTTTGTTAATATAAAATTTTCCTTTTGCAAAGTGCTGACTGTACTAGACATGAGGTTAAGATAATTTTAAATATATAAACATCTTAATGCTAAGATTATCTTCTAATGATTGAATTACTACTTTTAGAACCTAAGGAATCAATGATTTATTTATGCAGAATTTCAGTAAGTGTTATAGCATGAGACTGATGAACATATTGCAAAACTTGTCGGTATACTAATAAATTTTCATAAACATAAATGATACTGCCAATGTATATTTTATTGATGATTAAAAATATTTCATTTTTAAAGACTTAGTAATGTAACAATAGAACATAAGCCAATGTCAGGATCAGTGATGAGCAATTAAAAATTCACCAATAAATTTAACAGTAAAGAAAAAATTCTGTTATCACATTTTACATTTTTCAATAAATGCTATAAAAAGAAGGAAACAAGCAAGAAGTATTAATACTTAGTAGACAAAAACTAAATTATAGCATTATTAGAACATGTTATTACTAAATGCTTAAAAAACACAAAAGAATCTAGACAGTATACAGTAGAGATTTTATAAGGTTTTTACTGCAATTGTTCCATTTGTTTACTTATTTCTTTAAGTCCTTATTGTATTTTCACTATTATAGTAACAATATTTATTTTGTATCATGTTTAAGAACTATAGATCTCTATAATATAATAAATAATAGATTGTCCTCTAATCCCATCTTAACAAGTAAACATATTTAATAACTGATATGTAACCTTCTAGATTATTTTCAAACATAGCCTATGATTCTACATTTCACAAGGAGGAACAAATATTCAAGAATAGCCTGTATAATTTCATAGAAGACAGAAATTTATTTACGTATTTCTTTTGAGATAGGGTCTTCCTGTAGCCCCAAGAGGCCTTGAACTCACTATAGAGACCAGGCTGGCCTGAATTTCACAGAGAACCACCTGCCTCTTCCTCCCAAGGGCTGGGATTAAAGGTGTGTGTCACTAAGCCTGGATTTAGAAAGGAAGTTATAAGACTAGTTGTAGACATAGTTTTATATTTTAATTCAGCAGAAATTAACACAAAAATCAATTGTAAAAAATACAGAATCATTGAGTCTAGATC